CCCTAATATAGTTTTTATTCCATAAAGCAGGTAGAAATTGCAGATAGAACATTTTCCAGGATTCGGGAAGGAGGGTGAGACATGGATTTCCAAAATCTTTAATTGGTTCCTTCTTCAACATATGAAACACTCATATGCCTCTGTAAATGACTGGGAGAAGTCTGACTTTTTTTCCTGGAATTGCTCGGGAAAATTCAATTTTTTAAATTCAGAGTTTGCTTCTGATATCAAAGCTACTACTACAACATTTATTTCCTCTTACAACTTCTTTGAAATATAGGCTGCTGAAATATTAGGTTTTCATCTTTGACTGCTTAGCTAAATCAAATCTCAACATAGAGAAAGGAGTGAGACATAAAAGAAAGAGGATAGGTGTAAAACAGACATTTGCTTTTGAAGATAATGAGTACCCTTTACCAATTTGTGTGCCTTCTTTTAAACAAAGAAAGCCTCTGCCCACATGGAGGCTTGGCAACAGTGGCATGGCCTGCCCGGTATTCTTGTCTCTAAGACAAGTGATTACTTTTCCTAGATATTTGCTTTCATGATTGGAGCAAGTGCTGATGGTAAAGTTAGATTTTAAGTGTGGGATCCCAAAGTCTGCATCTACTTCTTTCTATGCCTCTCATGTGGCTTGAGTCACTCATACTCTCTCTCTCTCTCTCTCTCTTCTCTCCACCACACACACAAACACACACACACACATACAGAAGTAATTTCTAAGAACTCTGATGTGACCTAGGTCATAGGGTAAGGCCATAACTGAATCGGGATGCCTGGAAGTGATGGTCTCAGTAGGAGAAGGGAAGATTATAATCATCGTTCTTCTAATGGATATTCTCCTTGGATTTTTCCCACCCCATACTTCTTTGTAAGACTGGCCGGGGACTTCCCTTGTAGGAGGCCTATCGACTGTAGGAAATTAGAAGTAGACAGTATTAGCTGACATCTACTTTGGAACCTCAACGGAGAAATTATCTCCTTTCCCCTGGATATCCTTTCTTTGGATTTGCATTCCAGCGTTCTTTTTCTCACTCTGATGGCAAGATTTCTAAAAAACCACCCTTGTATATGAGCCTAAGTTAAAAGGGTGAGGAAGTTCTTTCTCTCTATTGGACATGATAGAGAGGAGTTACTCAGAGCTTAAGCTCATGAAAACAAGACTAACGTACCAGGGCATGGGCCCTACGGTCTTATTGTATTCACAGTTTTACCTCACATTTTCCTCTCTGATTATCCTTCTTGTGGATTTTGTGGATGTATAATTCTGACGGTGTTTTGTAAATGAAGCTACTATGGTATTCTTCCAGATTCTGTTTGCCAGACAAGATCTGTCTAGGTATAATGTCTCTAGCAGAGTAGATGTGGCCATGTCTAAATTGCATCCACTTACCTTCACCAATTAAAAGGAAGCATTTTGGGGGGTGGGGCATGACCTACATATAGCCCAAGAGAGGAGTACAGTGTGGATCGTGGAGCACGCTGATTACACTCTGCACTGAACCCTATGTGGAGTGTGTCAGACACAGAGTACTCTCCTCAGACACCAAACTGAAACTTCAATATGATAGACCCTGCTTTTATAGAAAAATCTATCAAGTTGCTACAAAAAAGTGAAGTTAAGACCTGGAGAAAGGTAGCTTTCAGTATTCATTCTTACGTCAAAGTAACTCCAGCCTAGTGTTCTGGTTCTTTCCATCTGATCCCTTCCTCTTGTAGATCTGACCCTCTCCAGTTCTATCTAACAATAAAGATATTTTAAAAATGCTAGCATTCCAGAAGGCATTTTACTCCCTTCTTCTGTAAGTAATCTCTATAGCTTCCACTAAAACACGTACCTTCTGTTGCTGTTTCTATATCAGTTTGGAATATATTACTATCTATTCTTGCTATGATCAAATTAGGGTTTAACAACTCAACTCTCCTTTCCACTTTGCCACAATTCTCTCAGTAGAGTATATTACTTATATTATTGTTGACTATTTTAAATTCTTCTACTTTGTGCGTTTCAATAATACCGTAATATTTTTATTTCTTGTTTCCTAAAACAAAGATATTAGTTGGTCTTCTACTAATAATGTAAGTAGTTTGGAGAACATCTTATTTCTTTCCAACTTCCCTGCCGGTCACATCTACTTTTCTCAACTATTACCTGGTAACTCTTTTTTTTTGCATTTATTATGATAAATTTATATATAACATAAAATGACCATCGTAAACTTATTCTTAAAGCATACATATTATCAGGTAATGTGCAAAGTATAAATTTATATAAGTATAATTATTATCTAGTTCCTGAATTTTTCCATCACCTTAAGTACAAACCTTCTGCGTGAAGCACGTCACTCATACCACCATCATCTCTCCTACTTGCAAGCCTCTGGTAACCCCACAAAACTGCTTTTAAATCTCCCTAAGGATTTTCTATCTATTCCTGTTATTTCACATAATAATGTGGAATATGAACCATAATATGTATGCTTTTTGTGTCTGGCTTCTTTCAACTTTAGTATAATGTTTTAAGGTTTACATGTTTGTAGCATATCAGATTCATTCTTTTTTGCTGAGTATATAATGAATTGTAACGACTACACCACATTGTTTATTTCATTTGTCTGTTGATGGACATTGAGTTGTTTTCCATTCTTTGCTACTGTAGATTTTGCTGCAATGAACACTTGTGCACAAGTTTTTTTTTCTTTCTAAGTAGCCCTACAAATGGGTGTACAAGTTTTGTTGACACCTGGTTTAAATCTCCTTTGAATCTTGAATTCTTGATTGCCTAGGGCCCATATGATATCTTAATATTAACTTGTTGAAGAATCACCTAAACTCTACCGGACTTTTATTTTGCATTATTGAGTTCATAGCATGTACATGTGTTCCAGTAACCTCCATCCCCCCCCCCCCCCTATTGTTGTTTTAAGTACTTGGCTATAGATTAATACCCAAGAATTGAAAATAAATACATATGATGCATTGTGAATACTAGTAACAATGTTTTAATGCGTAGGCATGCTCATATTTGTTATGTTTTCTTTGGGCATATACATGTCTTCTCCACTCTTTTTGAGATAAGTTCTCATCTGTACCCTGAATTATCTATTTTTTGATAGTGATTTTTTCTCTTTATCTAAACTTTTTCCGTCCTCTTTTACTTGGAAGATTTTTCCCAAATGTCACAAATTGTGGGTTATGGTCTTCCTATTTAAAGAATGCGATGGCTTCCTGATGGGGTTTTTGTGCTGGTAATCGAGGCTTGTTACCTGGTTACTTTGCATTAGCTGGCTAACAGGGAGACTGGGGTCATGCTGACAGTGTACGCTAACACAGAATGGCAAGATTCTTTTCTCCAGGGAAACTTTAGTGATGGTTTTGAAAGAAGAAAGCTCTGAAAATATTTGTTGGCAATGTGTGTAAGCGAAATGGAGCACACGCAAGATTCTTCTGTTACCACTTGCAATGAGTCATTTAACCAATGCATGTGTTCAGCCTCCTTGACTCCCACTCTTCATATTAATGGGCTTTCAAGCTCCACTGTCTCGGGGCTTCCCCCGGACAAACCGCCTCCTTTTCAGCTGTCCCCAGCCTAATGGTCATTGGTCATGCCCATTCAGACCCCCTGCTAGTTTATCAGTTACCATCTATTCTGTCTTTCTAGAAGTTTAACCCACGTCTCTAATAGCCCATTGGTAAACCTTCACCTAATTCTCTTTGTTGCTTGTGATTCTACCTTTGACTTTTTTTTTTTACTATCATTTTGTGAGGGGAGCAGGAGAGGAAGGGAGGAGGTAAACTACGTGTGGAGAACTTGTTAGCTTTTAGCTGGGACTCCTTCATCCCATCTTTTAAATGCTGATGTGTCAAAGGAAGAAAGCCTAGGAAGTGTCAGGGATAATTTATTTCTCCTAATGAGACAATATTTCTCTGAGTACCCTACCCCATTACTTGTGTATTATATGAAGTTTTAAATTCTGGCTTAGAGACATAGGCACTGTTACCAGCCTTCATGAGCTTACTGGGTTTTTTTTCTGTAATCATTGTTCGTTATTCCCCCATCCTCAGCCTCAGGCAGTTTTCTAACAGGCATGTTCTCATTGATACTCTGCTAAATACTTAAAGGGGGCTCTTCTTATGTCTCTGTACATCTCTGGAGTATTTTGTGTATGGATGTGCATGTACACTCATCCCTGGTACTCTGCCCTTTGAACTCTAGATATCTTCATCTCCCTGGACTATCAGTTCTGTCTCTTCAACTTGGTGAGACCATTGGGCTATCTTTTTTGTGTGCTAGAACTTAGAATCTTACTCTAGATGGTAAGTTCAGGCAATTAAAGACCCCACCTCATTTATTCCCATCTTCCCATCTCACAAGAAACATTGTCCTCCATTATTTGATTCCAGTGAACTAAGAACCAAATGTATATCTTAAGTTTATTTCATGGAAGAGAACATAGAGTAAATCTGTTCTCTGTTAGTATATCTTGCATGAAAGCAGGTGTATACTGTAAGTACTTTTAACCTTTATTCTGAGATGCAGGTAAGTTACTTGGAAATAGTTTCAGATCTTCCTTTTATGCTTTGTTAGGCAAGCCATAGCAACATTCATTTTAGTCTTGGGCTGATTCTTCTCCTCCATTAAAGCAATAATCTTTTGAGTATTCTATTGGATGCCCCATTAGAGGAAGAAATATACTTCATTTTTAAAAACCCATTGGTCACTTCTCTCATTCCTCTTTCTCCCTGCATTCCTTTATCCATCATTAACACCCAACACTAATCTAAGCATATTAGTTTACAAAACTTGAAGAACCAACTATTATTAGAATTTTTTGAAAATGGTAAAAACATTAAAACAAACATGTTTTAGAAAGTAGAGCTACAGATCTTGGGGAAGGATTTAGAAATTCACAGACCTAGAGCTTTCTTGGGACCCATAAGTAGAATAATTAGGAACAGATTTTTAGTAACCCTTAGAAAAGGTGGTGAACCATTCTTACCAGTCTGACACTTTGCAATGTGGAGGAGGTGATACAGTCCCAGTGCTGCTTGCTGTGTGATTGAGGAATCAGCATGGGAACACAAAAGACACAGCTCTGCTGCCAGGACACCCAAACAGGGAGCATCAACACTTGTCTAATGGGGAAACAAAAGAAAAATGCATTTGCTATGCATAGTCAGCATTGATGTCTGCAACTGGTCCTATTATATATCAGACTAGGATTAGAGGATAAACTTCAGAGTTTATAAACTATGTATTCAAATCCTGGCTCTGTTACTGAGTCTCAATTTTCTCATCTAAGAAATGAAGACAAGCGCCACCTTGTAACAGTTATTGTGAAGGGGGAAAAGGGGCAAGATTTATGACAAAAAGTTAAGTTTCTAGCAAACTACTTAGAAATAATAGTAACTCCCTAACACTAGTTTTTATTCCATAAAGCAGGTAGAAATTTGCAGATAGAAAATTTCCAGGATATAGGGAAGGAGGGTGAGACATGGATTTCCAAAATCTTTAATGGTTCCTTCTTCACATATGAAACACTCCATATGCCTCTGTAAATGACTGGGAGAAGTCTGACCTTTTTTCCTGGAATTGCTCGGGGAAACTCAATTTTTTAAATTCAGAGTTTGCTTCTGATATCAAAGCTACTACTACAACATTTATTTCCCCTTACAACTTCTTTGAAATATAGGCTGCTGAAATATTTAGGTTTTCATCTTTGACTGCTTAGCTAAATCAAATCCAAATAGAGAAAGGAGTGGAGACATAAAAGAAGAGAGGAGAGGTGTAAGAGACATTTGCTTTTATGAAGATATGAGTACCCTTTACCAATTTTGTGTGCCTTCTTTTTAAACAAAGAAGGGCTCTGCCCACATGGAGGCTTGGCAAACAGGTGGCATGGCCTGCCAGGTATTCTTGTCTCTAAGACAAGTGATTACTTTTCCTAGATATTTGCTTTCATGATTGGAGCAAGTGCTGATGGTAAAGTTAGATTTTAAGTGTGGGATCCCAAAGTCTGCATCTACTTCTTTCTATGCCTCTCATGTGGCTTGAGTCACTCATACCTCTCTCTCTCTTTCTCTCTCTCTCACACACACACACACACATACAGAGTAATTTCTAAGAACTCTGATGTGACCTAGGTCATAGGGTAAGGCCATAACTGAATCGGGATGCTGGAAGTGATGGTCTCAGTAGGAGAAGGGAAGATTATAAATCTCGTTCTTCTATGGATATTCTCCTTGGATTTTTCCCACCCATACTTCTTTGTAAGACTGGCCGGGGACTTCCCCTTGTAGGAGGCCTATGACTTAGGAGAATTTAGAAGTAGACAGTATTAGCTGACTCTACTTTGGGACCTAGGGAGAAATTATCTCTTTCCCTGGATATCCTTTTCTTTGGATTTGCATTCCAGGTTTCTTTTTTCTATCTGATGGCAAGATTTTAAAAACCACCCTTGTGTATGGGCCTAAGTTAAAAGGCTGAGGAGTTCTTTCTCTCTATTGGACATGATAGAGGAGGAGTACTCAGAGCTTAGCTCACTGAAACAGGACTACATACAGGGCATGGGCCCTACGGTCTTATTGTATTACAGTTTTTACCTCAGATTTCCTCTCTGATTATCCCTTCTTGTGGATTTGTGGATGTATAATTCTTAGCAGGTGTTTTTGTAAATGAAGCTACTAGTGGTTTCCTTCTATTCTGTTTGCCAGACAAGATCTGTCTAGGTATATGTCTCTAGCAGAGTAGATGTGGCCATGTCTAGATTGCATCCCACTTACCTTCACCAATTAAAAAGGCATTTTGGGGGAGTGGGGCATGACCTAATATAGGCCAAGAGAGGAGTAAGCAGTGTGGATCGTGGAGCACGCTGATTACACTCTGCACTGACCCTTTGGAAGTGTGTCAGACACAGGTACATCTCCTCAGACACCAAACTGAAAACTTTCATTATGATAGACCCTGCTTTTATAGAAAATCTATCCAAGTGCTACAAAAAAGTGAAGTTAAGACCTGGAGAAAAGTAGCTTTTCAGTATTCATTCTTACGTCTAAGTACTCCAGCTTAGTGTTCTGGTTCTTTCCATCTGGATCCCTTCCTCTTTGTAGATCTGACCTCTCCAGTTCCCTATCTTAACAATAAAGATAGTTTTAAATGCTAGATTCCAGAGGCATTTTAGATCCTTCTTCTGTAAGTAATCTCTGTAGCTCCCTAAACAACGTACCTTCTGTTCTGTTTCTAATATCAGTTTGGAATATTACCTATCTATTCTTGCTATGATAAATTAGGGTTTAAAACTCAATTCCATCTTTCCACTTTGCCACAATTCTCTCAGTAGAGTATATTACTTATTATTATATGTTACTATTTTAAATTCTTCTACTTTTGTGTTTCAATAATACCGTAATATTTTTATTTCTTGTTTCCTAAAACAAAGATATCTTGTTGGTCTTCTACCTAATAAGGTAAGTAGTTTGGAGAACTCTTATTTCTTTCCAACTTCCCTCCGTCACATCTACTTTTCTACAACTATTACCTGTACTCTTTTTTTGCATTTTTTATTATGATAAAATTTATATATAACATAAAATGTACCATGTAAATTATTTTAAAGCATATATAATTCAGTGTATGTTGCAAAGTATATAATTTTATATAAGTATAATTATTATCTAGTTCCTGAATTTTTCCATCACCTTAAGTACAAACCTTCTGCCTGTGAAGCAGTCACTCATACCACCTCATCCTCCCTACTTGCAGCCTCTGGTAACCACAAAACTGCTTTTAATCTCTAAGGATTTTTCTATCTATTCTGTTATTTCACATAATATGTGAATATGGAATCACATAATATGTAGCTTTTTGTGTCTGGCTTCTTTCACTTAGTATAATGTTTTTAAGGTTTATCCATGTTGTAGCATATATCAGACTTCATTCCTTTTTTGGCTGAGTAATATGATATTGTACAACCACACCAAATTTTGTTTATTCATTTGTCTGTTGATGGACATCTGAGTTGTTTCCATTCTTTGGCTACTATAGATTTTGCTGCAATGAACACTTGTGTACAAGTTTTTGTTTTTCTTCTTAAGTATGCCCTACAAATGTGTACAAGTTTTTGTTTGAACACCTGGTTTAAATTCTTTTGAATTTTGAATTCTTTGATTGCTAGGCCATATGATAATTCTATATTTAACTTGTTGAAGAATCACTAAACTCTTCCCTGGACTTTTATTTTTGCATTATTGAGTTCATAGCATGTACATTGTGTTCAGTAACTCATTTGTTGTTTTAAGTACTTGGTTTATAGATTAATTCCAAGAATTGAAAATAAATAATATGATGTCATTGTGAATAAGTAAAATTGTTTAATGCGTAGGCATGCTCATTTTGGTTATGTTTTCTTTGGGCATATACATGTCTTCTCCACTCTTTTTGAGAATAAGTTCTCATCTGTACCCTGAATTATCTATTTTTGATAGTGATTTTTTTCTCTCTATCTAACTTTTTCCGTCTCTTTTCCTTGGAGATTTTTCCCAAATGTCACAAATTGTGGGTTATCTCTTCCTATTTAAGAATGCGATGCTTCCTGATGGGGTTTTGTGTGTAATTGAGGCTTGATACCTGGTCTACTTTGCATTAGACTGGCTAACAGGGAGACTGGGGTCATGCTGAAGTGTAGCTAAACAGAATGCAAGATTCTTTTCTCAGGGAACTTAGTGATGGTTTTGAAAGAAGAAAGTCTGAAAATTTTGTTGGCCAATGTGTGTCAAAGGAAATGGGAGGCAACGCAGATTCTTCTGTATACACTTGCAATGAGTCCATTTAATCAGTGCATGTGTTTCAGCCCTCCTTTGACTCCCACTCTTCATATTAATGGGCTTTCCAAGCTCCACTGTCTCGAGGGCTCCCCCGGACAAACCGCCTCCCTTTTCAGCTGTCCCCAGCCTAATGGTCATGGTCATGTCATTCAGATCCCCTGCTAGGCTTTATCAGTTACCATCTATTCTGTCTTCTAGAAGTTTACCCACGTCTCTAGCCCATTGGAAACCCTTCACTAATTCACTTTGTTGCTGTGGATTTATACCTTTGACATTTTTTTTTTTTTTACTATCATTTTGTGAGGAGGAGAGGAGAGGAAGGAGAGGAGATAAATACGTGTGGAGAATTTGTTAGCTTTAGCTGGGACTCCTTCATCCATCTTTAAATGCTGATGTGTCAAAGGAATGAAGCTAGGAAGTATCTTTTTCTGTTAATGCTATGACATGCTTAGCTCCCATTTCTTTGCCTATTGAAAATTAAATAGTTTAATTGAAGGAACAAATATTCTTTGAGTGTAGGAGTGACATAGGTCATGGGAGGGGAATTATCACTTTAAAAAATGTTTCTGACAGAATACAAATGATAGTCAAGATTGTTCAATAGGACCAGGGTCTCTGACACTCTGGAAGACCTAGGTAAGCATGATTATAAAGAAGAAAGTCTATCCAATGTATGAAAAGTACAGGAGACCAAAATAGGTAGTTATACGTAGTTAGTAAAGGGCAGAACAAATATCCATTGTTTATAATGTGTCAAATACAGAGATACACAAACTAGGCCTGTAGGAATCTCAGCTTTTAACTTGTTAATATATATTTTCAATTCTTTTATTTTATATATTTGTCTCTCCCCCACCACATTAATTTCACTGACTGAAACATCTTTAGAAGACATTATTTTAAAGAGAAAGCTAACTTAGTGAAGTTTTATGCTCCCATGACTGTTAACGAGCTGGTTGATTCTAGCTCTTAGTTTCAATGATCTGGAAAATGTGGATGTACTTCCCCCTGGTGGCATTCAGCGAGCATTGCAGAACAGACTGGTCACCTAAACAAATCTGTTAATAGCTAGCAACCCTCAACTAATAGATGGGAGCCTTCTGCTACATATGTGAATTTCCACATTTATTCTTTCACAGTTAAATGGAGGAATGACTGTTACTATAGCAAAGTTTGTTCACATTTCAAGAGAGAATGAATTGTACTACAGTAATGGAAAGAGAGAAGAGGAAGAGGTAATAGAAGATGAAATTCCAAAATGTCTTATCTGCTACTTGAGTGGCATTCACTAGAATGAATATATATATATATGCACACACACACACACACATATATATATAGCATAATATATATGCATACAAATACAGAGAGAAGCATGTGAATAGACTCCATTGGCATCAAATACTTGCTGAATGTATAACATGTGTTGGGAACTGTGCAGAAAACAGCCTTGAGTAGTGAACTATACTTAATCTCAAGTCTTGCTTGCAAAATTTTCTATGATGAAACTTCTGGACACTTGAATGAACCATAAAAGATATTTTAGAAGCACAAAGAGACTGTCTTCCCAGATCAGAGAATCACAAGATTAAAGAAGCCACTCAGCCTCTCTTTTGGATCAACATGATGCAAAGAACATCATGGACTGTATTCCGCCATGTAAGTAAATTATGATATGTTCCAAAGACAATTTTTTAAAAAATTCAGATATGTTATAAGGCTGATGTAGTTTTTTTGTCTCAACGTGTCTGGGGACTATTTGTACAAGTAGTAGAAAATGGATACTTAAAGATGGCATTGTGAATGCATGTCTCCCACCCCTTTCACTCATATCTCCTTCTGAAATGACTAAAGCAATCAGATAAGCAAGTAGTAGAGTATGTTTAATAATCACTGTGAAGGATGAGTTGGGAAAGGGAGACTGAATACACAGTCTCCACAAGAGAGAAATATTCACAGATAGAGGTTTCTGGGAAGGCTGGCAATGAGGTCATTCAAAGTACAGACAACCTCAGTAAATATTGGCAATTATGAGACAGTTGTTTCTTTGCCACCTGACAGGCAAAATTAAAATATTGTATAATATCCCAAGGTTTGTGAAGGTATGGGGAATTGGATACTATAATAGTCACAAGAATGCAAATTGGGGAACAATTGTGCATTACTAAACTTTAACCTATCATATTTTTTGATCTGACAATTATTTTTCCAAGCATTTCTAAGCATATACTCACATACTTGCACAAAGATAACCATTTCGTATTGTTTGAGATAGAAAAAATAAAAATATACTTCAATGTCCATCAACTGAAAAATAGCTAAGCAGATCATAATACATCAAAACTATGGGATATACACTGTGCTTGAAAAGTGAAATAAATCTACATGTATTGACATGGAAGTATCTGTAGAACATATTGTTCAGTGAAAAAAGCAAATTGCAGAAGTGTATGTAAAATGCTGTAACTGTAGTAAAGAACACTAAATAATAAAGCTATGTATCTCAGTGTGTGCATGGATGTGCGAGTGTGTGCATAGATGTGTGCATAGAAGGTGGTTTGGCAGGACATACATCCTACTGGCATGGCTAAGGGTGGGGTTGGGATGGAAAGGATAGTAAAGGAAGACTTATACTCTATTGCTATTTAGCATGTTTTACAATGAAAGTACTTGAGAGTTACTCATATGAATTTAAAATAAATAAGATTTTCAAAATAGTTCAGAAAAACAAGAAGGAAGACAAAGACGAATGAATTTATAAAGTTACAAATAATGTTGATTGTGGTTCATAGAGGAGACTCCAGAAAGTCAGCAAGAACCTGGTTTTGACACACTCATACTATTTGTGTAAACATAATACATCTTAATCAATTGTTTGAGAAACTCTCCTCTGATTAACACAAAGTCATGTAGGATAGTGACTCCTTTCCTGATATCCCAACCTACCAGCACAATGATACCAGGCAGGCATTTAGGGCTCTCAAGCTCTCAAGACCCAAGACATGGAAAGCAGCACTATGGAAATGCAGTGTTCAGAATCAGGTGGCATTATTGCACTCTGTGACTTACATGTCCCACGACCTCCCTGGATGCGAAGTGTAACACCCTCCTGATGATCACCATCATTCTCTCTTGCAGGTATGAGTCATCTTCACTCATCCACACAATAATTTCCTGTTGGAAACATAAAAGTCATCTTAGAACCATCATATTTCCATTTCCCAAAGTGCCCTCCTCATCTTCAGCTTCACCAATTCAGGGGTCCATATGGTGTCCCAATTATTTGACACTTAACCAGCTCTGATCTCAAAAATACAAACGGCAAGCCAGTTGTTATCTAGTACACCACTTCATTTACTATGGTAAATACATCTTAATTTTATTTTATTTAATTCTATTCAACAAGTATTCACTTGACATTCACTATAATAGTCACTTTGTCAGGCATCACGAAAAGTTGACCACAAGGCCATGATGTGATTATCAGCTGTTTTGTCTCCTCTTTTTCTTACAAAGTATGTATTCCCCCCTTTGATTTTTAAATCACAGAATCTGCTTCTCAGCTTTAAAAGACAATTGAAATCTTATCTGATACTGAAATATCATCTTTTCCTAGAATTCCTCTGCAAACTCACTACTCAGAAATATGTTGTCTCATGGTGGGAGAGTACATTACTGTGAGGCAGTTTAGTTAGAAAATTCTGGCAAATTTTAATTCAAATTGGCTTTGCTGTACCTTCTATTTTTTCTAAATCCTCAGAAAGAGGGACATATTTACAGCGTTGGGAAAGGAAGAAAACTGCATTTGCCTCGCATGCCAATCACCATTGACAGACTTCTTAAGGCAATCTGTTGGGGTTCATTGTATTTATGCCAGTAAATGGTTGCCCAGATTTCTTCCCCTTCACTTGCTCCCATTGTGGAAACTGTTCTGCTTCCTAAGGTGGAAGAGTTTCTAAATCTCAGCGGGTTCAAACTCTGCTTTTTCCTTTTCAGGAATGAGGTTACGGCTCTTTTTGTGGATTAGGGGAGTTTTTAGCCATGGTAGGGTAGGTATGGCTACTTACCTTCTTGCCTTCCCCACTTCTTGGTTTCTTATGCCTTTTATATCACTTTGTGCCTGTGTGTACCCATCTATTAGCTCTCACTCTTGAGTGAGGATATTTGGTGTTTGATTTTTCATTCCTGAGACACCTCACTTAGGATAATTGTCTCTGGTTCCATTCATGTTACTGAAAATGACATTTCATTCCTTTTTCTGGCTGAGTAGTACTCCATGGTAGGAATATATATATATATATATATATATATACATATATATATATATATCACATTTTCTTTAGCCATTCATGAATTGAAGGGCACTTAGATTGATTAAAAATCTTTGCAATTGTGAACTGTGCTGCAATAAACATTCACATGCAGGTGTCTTTTTGACAAAATGACTTCATTTCCTTGGAAAGATACCCAGCAGTGGGATTGTCGGATTGAATGGTGAATATATTTCTTTGAGGTATCTCCATACTGTTTTCCACACAGGTTGCACTAACGTGAGGTCCAACCAATAGTGTGTAAGTGTTCCTTTCTCTTTGCATCCACACCAGTATCTATTGTTTTTTGACTTTTCAATAATAACCATTCTGATAAGAGTACTGCGGTATCACATTGTAGTTTTAATTTGAATTTCCCTGATGATTAATTATATTGAGTATTCTTTCATGTGTTTTTTGTCCATTTGTCTATCTTCTTTTGAAAAAATTCTGTTCAAATCTTTTTTTTTAACTTTTTTATTTTGGCATATTATGGGGTACAGATTTAAGGTTTCAATAATGCCCATTTCCCCCTCCCAAAAGTCTGAGTCTCCATCATGACCATCCCAGATGGTGCACATCTCCACTCATTACGTAGTTGATATACCCGCCCCTCCCCCTCCCACCTGCCAATACTATTACTGTAGTACCTATGTGCTCACTTGGGTGCTACTCGTTAATCCAGTTTGCTGGAGAATATATGTGGTGCTTGTTTTCCATTCTTGGGATACTTCACTTAGTAGTATGGGTTCCAGCTCTAACCAGGAAAATATAAGATGTGCTATTGTGCTCTAAGAAACAATCACCATTGTTTCTTAGAGCTGAATAGTACTCCATGGTATACATTTACCACATTTTATTAATCCATTCTTGGATTGATGCACTTGGGCTGTTTCCACAGCCTTGCAATTATGAATTGTGCTGCTATTAAACATTCGAGTGCAGGTGTCTTTTTTGTAGAGTGGTCCATTGGATCATTGGGTAGATGCCCAGCAATGGGATTGCTGGATCAAATGGTAGATTCACTTGTATCGCTTTAAGGTATCTCATATTGCTTTCCACAGAGGTTGAGCATTGCAGTCCCACCAGCAATGTAGGAGTGTTCCTCTTCTCCGCAACCACGCCAGCATTTATTGTTTGGAGACTTTTTGATAAAGGCCATTCTCACTGGGGTTAAGTGATATCTCATTGTGGTTTTGATTTGCATTCCCTGATGATTAGAGATGTTGAGCCATTTTTCATATGTTTGTTGGCCATTCTTCTGTCTTCTTTAGAAGAGTTTCTGTTCAAGCTCTTTGCCACTTTTTAATGGGGTTATTTGATTTTTCTTCTTAATTTCGTGAGTTCTAAGTATATTCTAGTTATCAGTCCCTTATCGGATGCATAGTTGCAAAATTTCTCTATTCTGTAGGTTGTTTTTACTTCATACTATTTCTTAGGCTTGCAGAAGCTTTGTTAGTTTGATCATGTCCATTATTTATTTATTTTTGTTGCTGCTGTGATTGCCTTTGGGACTTCTTCATAAACTCTTTGCCCAGCCGATGTCTAGGAGAGTGTTTCCAACTTTTTCCTTAGAGTTCTAATAGTTTCATACTTAGGTTTAAGTCTGTTATCCAGCGTGAGTTGGTTTTGTGAGAGTGAAAGGTGTGTCTTTTTAGCCTTCTACAGGTGGCTATCCAGTTTCCCAGCACCATTTATGGAAGAGGATTCTTTTCCCCAGCATATTTTTGTCTGCTTTGTCAAGATTATGGCTATATGAGGATGGTTTTATATCAGGATTCTCACATTTGTCCACTGGTCAATATCCTATTTTTGGTGCCATACCAGATTGTTTATTACTACAGCTTTGTAGTATAGTTGATATCTGGCATATTAATGCTCCCATTTTTGTTTTTGTTGCCTAGAATTGCTCTTGATATTCGGGTCTTCTTTGGTTCCATACGAAGCGTAAAATTATTTTTCTATATCTGTGAAGAATGCTGATGGATTTTAATAGGTATTGCATTGAATCTGTAGATCAGTTTGGGTAGTATAGACATTTTGATGATATTGAGTCTGCCGATCCACAAGCATGGTAGGATTTCATCTGTTTACATCCTCTGCTATTTCCTTCCTCAGTGTTTCATACGTTCCCCTGTAGAGGTCTTTTACGTCCTTGGTTAAGTATTCCTAGGTACTTTAATTTTCTTTGTTGCTATTGTGAAGGGAATTGAGTCTTTGATTTGGTTCTCAATTAGATAGTTGTTGGCATATATGAATGCCTCTGATTTCTGTGTATTGATTTTGTATCCTGAGACTTACTAAATTCATTGATCAGTTCCAGAGTTTCTTGGTTGAATCTTGGGTTTTCCTAGATACAATATCATATCATCACAAACAGTGGAGTTTGATCTTTCTGCCTATTTGGATACCTTTGATTCCAATTTCCTGTCTGATTGCTGTAGCAAGACTTCCAGATATGTTGAACAGAAGTGGAGATAGAGGGCAGCCTTGTCTGGTTCCAGTTCTAAGTGGGAATGATTTCAATTTTTCCCCATTCAGTTTGATGTTGGCTATGGGTCTGTCATATATGGCTTGTATCATTTTTAGGTATGTCCCTTCTATGCCTATTTTCTTAAGTGTTCGTATCATGAAAGGGTGTTGAATTTTGTCAAAAGCTTTTTTGCATCTATTGAAAGAATCATGTGGTCTTGTTTTGCTTTGTTTATGTGGTGAATTGCATTTATAGATTTACGTATGTTGAACCATCCCTGCATCCCTGGGATGATGTTCAAGTCTTTTGCCTACTTTTTGATGTGGTTGTTTTTGGTTTTTTTCCTTGCTGATTTGTTTGAGTTCTTTGTAGATTCTGGATATCAGTTCATTGTCAGATGCATAGTTTGTGAATATTTCCTTCCATTCTGTAGGTTGATTTGCCCTGTTGATTATTTCCTTTGCTGTGAAGAAGTTTTCTAATTAAATAAGTCCCATTTATTTATTTTTGCTATTGCTAAATTCGTTTTGGAGTCTTAGTCATAGATTCTTTGCCTAGGCTGATGTCCAAAAGAGGTTTTCCTACATTTTCTTCTAGAATTTTTATGGTTTTATACCTTACATTTAAGTATTTAATCCATCTTGAATTAAGCTTTGTATATATCAAGAGACAGGTATCCTGTTTCATTCTTCTGTATGTGGCTATCCAATTTTGGCAGCACCATTTATTGAGTATGGTTTCCTTTCCCCATTGTATGTTGCTGTCTACTTTGTTGAAGATCAGTTAGTTGTAGGTAGATGATTTTATTTCTGTGTTTTCTATTCTGTTCCATTGGTTTACGCCTCTACTTTCATGCCAGTATAATGCTATTTAGGTTACTATAGCTTTGCAGTATAATTTAAGGTCAGGAAATGTAATACCTACAGATTTGTTCTTTTTACTTGAGATTGTGTTAGCCATTCAGGCTCTTTTTTGGTTTCAAATGATGCTTAGGATTACTTTTTCTAGATCTGTGAAAGATGATGCTGGTATTTTGATAGGGATTTTGTTGAATCTATAAGTCACTTAGGACAGCATGGACATTTTAACAATGTTGATTCTAACCATCTATGAGCATGATATATTATCCATTTGTTTGTGTCATCTGCAATTTCTTTCATCAGTGCTTTGTAGTTCTTGTAGAGGTCCTTAACCTCCTTTGATAAGTATATTATTAGGTATTTTATTTTCTTTGTAGTTATGAATGGTATTGAGTCCTTGATTTGACTTTCTGCCTGACTATTATTAATATATAGAAATGCTATTGATTTGCGTACATTGATTTTATAACCTGATAATTTGCTGAATTTATTTGTAAATTCTAGGAGTCTTTTTGTTGAACTGGATACAAG